AAAATAGTCTTAGTTTTTTAGATCTTCCTTTCTTCACCCTCTGCTGTTTTTCTCTTAGCTTCTAGTGGAGCCAAAGGTAACAGAGGGACTGACTTGCTGGTTCTCCACCAATATAAACAATCAACTTGGGGAAACGCTGCCATCTGGTTTATATTTGATGCAGGGCCAGCAGGGGGCGCTCATCCGCCGGATTATTCTGATTTTAGCTCGTTACAGATTACAGCTAGCTATATGCTATAAAACAGGCTACTCATTGCCACATAGTCTTTGGTTACAATCTCAGAATGTGGGATCAGCAGGCCTGGATCTGAATCCTATTTCCAATATCAGCTGCCTGCCTAATATTGGGCAGTCCACGTATAAGATAGTGTTGACTAAGATAGTTCAGTGATGACTATCTCCACAGGCAGTACTACTACTGGTACTATTACTATAGTACTACCAAGGCTAAGGGTGGCAGAGTCATGAAGTCTTCAGTGGTGGCAATGATGGCCTATGTGGTAAACAGAAGAGTGAATCTGCAGAACAGCGGTAACTCAGGGAGGACACCCTGGACCAAGGCAAACTACGTTTTCCTCTTGGCTTTGTTGCTCATGCCTTATCCACTGCTGGGAAATAGTACAGCCACAAGGTTCAAACCTGGCCCCAGACATTAACTACCTGCAAGACAACAATCTCTCCAAGCCTCTTCCATAGAACTCAATAAAATTACCTCCCTCATCGGGCTATGATGAGGACAAAAGAAATCACTAATGAAAAATAGTACTGCATCCAGCTCATTGATTTATTTATTGGCTTTTTTCTAGCACTATCTATTGCCCCATGATTCCAATGAGCATAAGCCACTTCAGGGAAGGAGGAAGAAATGTGTGTGCATGCCTGTATGTAGACAAAGATCTACAGACTACAAACACAGAGCTGAATCTGTCGAGGGACCTTTGATTATTTGTCACCTTGTTGGCTTCCTTATCAAATTTAACATGCTTAATGTTTGATATTAAGTTTTTAAGTACAGTATATCCAATTAGTTTAAATATCCCAGATGAATTTAAGTTACTTTAAATTTTTCTGTAGTTGGAACAAAATATAATAAAATTAAAGTCTCAGAAGGTACAAAAAGTCTGAGAGCCAAAGAAATGTTTTACATGCTCCAAGTTTTTCACTGCGATCTCGGTCCTGAAATGCCATTGCATGTTCACTGTGACAGCCCCTTGTGTTTGCAAAATAAAATGCATATTACATAGTCTGAGAAGCTGGTACTTAAGACATCAACAAAATGCTTTAAAGAGTTTTTGTAATTCTCCCTCATTTCAATTTGTCAATTACCTTTTTTCCCCCAAGGGTTCTCCACTCCCTCTAGCACAACAACCCTCTTTCCAGACCCTTATATTTCTACTAAAATCAAATACGTGTACTGTTCACAATATGCCATGAGTTATTTTGTATACATTGAACTCAATTTTAAATCTATGCAAAAGAGGGGTTCGTAACACAGGAATATTAGAAGTGATGTTAACAAGTGAGACTGATGTTATGACTTAGTAATTTCAGAACAGTGGCAGTTTTGGTTGGCATTATCTGATAGACATAACTTAAAATCACACTATAACAAGCCAGAAACATCAACATATATATGACATTTTCTGAAATTATACTTTTGTAATCTAAAGAGCAAGTAATTTTCAACTGTGAAGGAGGATCATTATTCCCATATGAGCGCTTCATATCACCTCCCATTCTGTGTGTGTGTGTGTGTGTACACACACACACACACTTGTTTGGGTGGTTATTGTTTGTCTTCTCTGTAGGATGGTGGCTCAAGGAGAATAAGGACTTAGTTTCCTTTGCTTTTGAATCCCTAAAATCTGAAACAGGGACTGGCATGCAGTGTTTAAAAAGGACTGTTGCCCTGGACAGGTGGTTGGTTAGAGCATTTTCCTCATATGCCAAGGCTGCAGGTTTGATCCCTGGTCAGGGCAAATACAAGAATCAACTAATGAATGCATAAATAAGTGGAACAACAAATCACTGTTTCTCTCTTTCTCCTTTCTTCTCTCTAAAAAATCATTAAAAAAAAAATGTGTTGATTGAATTCCAATTTATCTCAGTCCCCATCTTGTGTCCCCTAAAATTATTTTTTTCAAGAGGCCCAATGGTGTTGACTCACTCTAGGCCTTCCACTGATATCAGGACCATTGAAGTCATATGTTAGAGTCCAAGCTATAGAGCCAAACTTTCATTCATCAGGGGAAGGCCAGTCGAGCTGAACCATTCAGATTACTATGTGTAATCCTGAGCACGCATGAAACATTATGTTTAGACTCTATTTCAAGGACTTGGTGGACCTTGCCTTTAAAACTATCCACTGACTTTGATTTATTGCTTTCATAACTCAGAGTCATCCCCCCAGCATCTTCTCCCTCATTCCTACCCATTCCATATCAATCCCTTACCCCTCAGCGTAAGGGTTACTCCTCAAGGAAGCTTGCCTATTCTGTGATAATCACTCACAGCTTTCAACATCCTTCCTTCCCTGCAGTCACTGCATTTCACAATGACCTCTTGTGTGATGACTGCTTCATGTGAGTCTCCTCATTGGATGTTACCTCCACCAGGGCAGAGAATGGTTGTGGGCAGGACCGGACCTTCCCTGGTATGGCACCGTGCACTAAATGATCATAGAACGGACTGACAGAGTCTATCAGGGATTCACAAAGTGAAGCCCAGCAAACACTAACCACAAGAGAAATTGGGCATTCTGGGCTGTACATACAGGTCCATACCTGAAGGGGAGAGTCACGATGAGGGGCTGCCATAGGCTTTCGAATTAAAAAAAATAATAATAAAATTTAAGAATTTTATTTATTTATTTTTAGAAAGGGAAAGGGAGGAAAGAGAGGGAAAGAAACATCGATGTGTGGTTTGCCTTTTGCTTGCCCCCTACTGGGGACCTGGTCCACAACCCAGGCATGTGCCCTAGACTGGGAATTGAACCAGTGACCCTTTGGGTTTGCAGGCCGGTACTCAATCCACTGAGCCACACCAGCCAGGGTTAAAAAAATTTTTTTTTAAATTTTGATAAAATATTCTATAATCTTTTTACCCAGGGAAACAACATCTTAGGACTTTTGCTTCCCAGTGTCTTGAAGTTTTATTCCTAGGAAAAAAAGAAAGTTCACAAGCAAAGAGAAAGATTTGTTCATGTAGTAGATATGCAGACTAAATATACAATTCAAGAGACCTTCATAATTGGGGTGGTTTACGGTAGTGTAAAAGAGTATATTGAAATAGATTTTTGCTCCTGGTCATGCTGCTTATTGGCTAAGTATCTTCAGTAAGCCACTTCAGGAGTCTTGGCCTCAGTTTCTTCACCTATAACATGGGCAAACAGAATCTACCTCACTGGCACCATGAGGACAGAATGAAATGATCAATGACTAAGTGCTGTGTAGGCACTGAGGTATTATACAAACATATCGGCTGGCCAAAGCCATGCCTTCGGCCAAAAAATCCTCTACACTTCCCAGAAGGAAGCAGCAGCCTCGAGTCAGACAGGTGATCTTGTGTATTTCAATGCCACCAGATGGGGTTTTAAGCCGTAACTACCACCCTTCCTGTAAAACCACTCAACTGCTTGAGAAGAGTGGTTTTCCCATTGGCTTTCTCTTCCCTGTTTCAATAACCTCATTTTCCTGTACCTGCCCTGAGATGCCCAATGACTTAGTTTACATCCTAATTCCTATTTTTTTCCTAATTTTGGAGCAGGCTCTATTTTTCTACCAGCTCCCAGAGTTCATAGCTCACAGGCAAAAATGTCAGTGGGCTACACTGTGTTCCCATGAGCGTCTACCCTGGTGGTGGCTGGTGGAAGCCCCTCTGCCTAGGTTGTCTCCCCCACGCTACCCTCAGAGGTTTCCCACCACGCTCAAGTGCAAATACTCCCAGGAGAGGTCACCTGCATTTGTTCAGTATCTGAGGTATTTACAACAGATGGTGAAATCATTCATGACACTTTTTCCTGATAACAGAATGACAGCAAGGCAGCAGACACCTAACAGCGTGGCATCTACAGCTTTCGGTGGCCCTGGAGATCAAGCAAGGCGGGTGAGACAGAGAATACAGAAAGGAGTCGGTGAAGATCCCAAAGAGAAATTCATGATTTCTTCAATTTTTGCCTCGGACTCACCCACACGCGGACGCAGCACTCATACTTCCAGACAAGCAGTGGGAGTGAGAACAGGGCCCTGGGCTTGCTGGGTGAAACGGAAGGGAGGCTCACGTAGGCATGGGAAACAATGGACCTGGCTGGGAAACAACGGGGTGACGGGCACACGACGGGGTGAGGGAGACAACCAACAGAGTCCAGATGCCCACCTGACTGGTATTTATATTCCAATGCATTGCATTCTACATCAAATTGTTAAAGTATCACCTTGTTACTTCTCCCTAAGAAGATAACTTGCTACCTTGAGAAAACATAGGCTTGGAAAAGCAGTATAGAATAATGGCTAAATGTTTAAGCTTGAGTTTTAAAGATATAAGTTTGAATCTCTTATCCACTGGATATTAATTGTGTGACTTTAGGAAAACTTCTTAACCTCTGTTTCTTTATCAAACAGCACCTGCCCTTATAGGGTTTTGGTGAGGAGAAAATGTGTTTGTATATATACCTGTAATTAGCTTTGCCATGCACCAGTCATGTGGCAAGGTACAATAAATGTTACATTTTAGCAAACAGAGGAGCTTATTAAGCCTGTTCCCTTCAGCGTCAGCATTCCCTGGCATTTCAGGTCCAAAGCATCCTAACTTTCAGCTCCAAGTTCTACATATTTGTCAATGGAAATACCCTTGACTTAACTGCAAGGCCGCTTGGTTATTCCTCCCAGGTCCGTGTTCACTCAGATTATTTGTCAGGCACGAAGGTAGGGGAAAGGACTGCAAAGGTGAATGGGAATGAACAGCAAATTCTGGATTTGAGATACACCTCTGAGCACACTCACCGAGTCTGGGTCTCGCTGCTGTTCGAGGAAAGCGGAGAATTCCACCAGGCGAAGTTTGGTTGTGCCAATGGAGCGACCCTGCCAGGCAGGGACTGAGGGAGCTGGGGCTGACGCAGGCTCAAATCCTGAAAGACCAATCGTCACCTTTGCTGCTGGCCAATCGCCTCCCCTTGGCCTCAGGCCTATGCTGGGGTAGGAAAGGCCAAGAGCCTGCTCCAGCAGTGTCTTGTGGTGGGGCAGGGTTGGAGGGGGGGTGAGATTCTGCCCAGGATCCCAGGGGCAGTGTCCTGGAGAAGCACGATACACGTGGCTTCTCAGAAAGCCAACTCCGGCTCATGTTAGGGACTGTAGCATGAGGTCACCTAATCCTGGACAAAGGGGCCTAGCTGGGGACTAAGACGAGACTGACTGAAGAGTGGAAAATGCCAGACACATCTTGTGTTTCTTCACCTCCTTTGATACGGCTGCAGGCACCAGTACTACAGGACATTCTCTCAGAATGACCCACGGTGTGGAGCAGAGGGCATTTTCAGCGTGGGGCCTCTGCGATGGAGAGCGGCTCCACTGAGTAATTCTACATGCACCTGTGTGGGGTGCGGGCATGGGGGTGAGGGCCAGGCAGACACATGCTTTCTAGTTTGGGTTTCCATGTGACCTCTCCTATAAACAAAGGGTAGTGGGAATTGAAACCTACTTATCTAAGAAAGGGTGACTAAAATCCTATCTGCCCTCAGGACTTGTATTGCCCAATTCAGCCTGTTAATGAGGAAGGAACCACAGCCACTTCCCCTTCCCAGGGTGACCCAGGGTGCTGAGTGAAAGTGACCAGGCTTCCTGTTTCCTCGAAAATGCATCTGGAGAGCTCTGAGCTCTGACAAGATGACTGACCGTAATCAGGACCTGGGAGGGGACACCTAGGTGACCCTCTTAAGCGCCAGGCTCACACCTGCCTTAAACAAGTTGAGGGTGAGGAGGGGGCATTCATGGGTCTGCAAAAGAGAGGGGCTATGCAGCTGTGGAACAAAGTGGGCGGGGGCCCCACGAGACTCACCTGGAATGGGGGCTGTGACCGCTGGCTGGATGGGGTACGCCTGCTGAACAAAAGGCTTGACGCTGGGAACAGAGAGGTGGATAGAATCAGAAATGGCAGCTGTAGCAGCAGCTACGCCTCAGTTCTGGCCTTGGCCTCCCAGGGTTAGGGACCCAGCCTGAGGTCCTCCCCGCTTTGAGGTTCTTGCCCGCAGGTGGGGGCACAGCCCAGGCAGAGCTCCATCAAGACCGAGAGGGTTACTCCCTCCAGTTGAGAGGGGCCAGCAGGCTGCTGGGGAGCAAACCACCAAGCTCACGCCAGCTCTGTGGGATCAGCTGGGCAGCTGCCTCTGAGCTTCTCATCCCTGTGGAGACTGAGGTTAGTGGTCACGATTTCCAGGCAAGGTTTGCAACATGATTCAGGCTCTCCTCCAGGCCAAATCACTCGAGTTCTTTTGAGAATATCTGAGCAGGATTTCCCTTCTGCTTTCATCCCCAGACAACCCTCACCTTCTGGTTTACTGAGCTTGCTACTCGGGCCCTGAAAGCATCAGCGGGATTTTCTATTAGCCGTCATACCACAGGGAAAGATGGAATGGAATGGGCTACGGAATCACCCCCACTGCCCTCGCTCTCAGACAAGCGCTTCTCCAGAAGGCCCTCGGCTTTGCCCTTCACAGCCATACAGGGACAGGAATCCTATTCCTGTTTTGAGCCAGATGACCACTAAACCTAAGGTGGGAGTGTTGTTTTCTTGTCTCCAGTATCTGAGCAGTCTCTTTCCTGCTGTTGGCCTCGGTGGACAACAATGGGGGATGATACCGGTGGTCTCAGGTTGTCTTTCTTCCCCTCTAAGCTCCGTGGCAGTGTGGTCCCAGGAAAACACTACCCAGGGTGGGCTGTGACCAGTCCCTTTCCAGTGCCGGCCCCTCCTCAGACTTACTCTTGTGAGGATCCTGGCTGCCCTGTTTGTATCATTCCCGGCCAGAACTGGAAGGCAAAATGCAAGAGGCTTCAGGATTAAGAGTTCACTTCAAAGCACAATTCAGGATGTGTATGCATTGCAACCCCTGCTAAAGATAGTGGGTTCAGATCACCCACCAGCTGCAGCGACCCTCCCTAAATGCAGACGTGGTCACTGCTGCGCACAAAGTCACAACCTACAGCCTTGGCCTGGCAACCCAGGGCGCCCTCTAGCTCCTCTTCCAGATAACCTCCGAGGGCAGGGACCGCCAGCAGCTTCAGTGTTCTCCTGACGCGTGGCAGAGATCTGAGTGCATAGCAGAGGGCTCCTGAGTATTTCACCTGACTGCCTGTCCATGTAGCCACCCACCCTTCTCTTCCCCACTCTATCTTGAAATGCACCATGTGTAACACTCTGCCTCCACAGCGCACAGTAGGGAGAGAGGGCCCAGTCAGAGAGAGGACAAAACTCAGAACAAGAGGCTAGCTTGGAGCTCCAAATAGCAGGCCCCTCCTTTGCTGTGAGTTTCCCTGAGGCGAGTTTAGTTGCTGACCTCTGACGCCCTGCTGGAGGAAGCACTGTGTAAAGGAAGTCACAGAACCTGGGGTTTGAGTCCTGGTATCACTATCCATGTGGTTATGATCACATTATCCAAATTCTTGTTGCTAAGTAACCTTTGTTTTCTCATCTGTAAAATGGCAGTAAGAGGCATTTAAGATTATTATGAGGATTAAATGGGACAATAATATTTAGCCTCTCTGCCCTCATAGGTGCAAAATGAAAATGTTAATAGAATTCTTTGTCCCTTTAGGGGCTAGCTGCCGTAAAGTCACCATGAGGACACAGGAACAGAGACCAAGGGCTAGGAGAAAACGATGCAGATCCCAACTCGGAGGGGCACCAGAAAAGTGATACTTGACTCAGTGTCTTCAGGGACTAAGGCCCCTCCCCTCCTACTCTCTCTCTTACTCCTTGCCCCTCTTCCTTCCTTTACTTCTTTCACCTTTATGCACCCATCAGCAGTTCACCACGAGGTCGATCTCTTACACCTGACCCAATCCTAAGAAGTGCCAGGTGGACAACTTCATGCTGGCCCATTGTGTCCCCATGCCCCTAGGGCCATTGTTTCTGGATGCAGCCTGTGACTCACCCCCGGTGCCCCTGGGAAGGTGGGGCGTGGAATCCCAGGCAGCCCCAGCTTGTTGTGAATGGCAGTGGCCGAGACGATCTGGGCTGACGACATGGCGGCCATGTGCTGAAGGGCCTTATCCTTTGCAGTCTGATCCTTGAAGGTGACAATGACACACAGACTTAATACATACGCATGGCTACCAGGCAGCTCACACAGGCACAGACACGAGCACATGGACTAAAATACAGAGCCACAAAAGAGGCCAAAAAAGCAAACATGCACGGATGAATAAACACAGCCAGAGGCTAAAACACACTGAACCTGCGGTAACTCTGAACATTTACAGAGAACAGCCAGTGGCAAGGTTTAACAAATTTTTTTTTTGTTAATCCACTTTCCTAAAGAATGGGAAGCCTCTGAGAAACAGACAATGTATTTATTTTTCCAGCTTCCAAAGGGAGATTTCTCCAATTACTTAACACACTCAAGGGAAAAAAGGCCTTGCTTTAAGCATATAGATGTGGGGGGACATGGTTGTGGATCTGGGGTGGGCCATCCAGGCTGTGGGGAGGCCCTGACTGTGTGTGCTGTCGAGGGGCCACAGTCTCAGGAGCTGCTGGAGTCATTCATGCGAGGCCTGGAAGCCCTGGCAGATGCCTGGTGGGGAGGCTCAGAAGCAGCAGGGTGGGCGGGGTTGGGGGCCACAACAGGGCCAAGCAGCATGCTGGTGGGGCGCATGCTCTCTCAGGTGTTCCTCCCATGGGTCTAAGGCTACATGGGTTCCTTCTACAGCTGAGGACAGAGCAGGTGCTACCAGGTAAGAAATTTCTCCTTTCCTAAATGGGTCTTTTCTAAAAAAGCCAAGGCTGATAACACAAAGCTAGCCAAAAAGTCTGCCAAGCACAGCTAAAATACAGAATGCTCAATTTGGTGAAAATACTTACCATGCTTGTCACCTGGGTATAACAATAAACAATTTGTTAAAAGGATTGCGTACAAAGGCAGGGTTATTTTTCTTCTTCAGTTAAAAAATATGTATGTATACAAACACACAACGGGTATAATAAAATAGGTAGGAGTGTGGGTTTTTTCACATTTTAGGAAGAATGTATGACCCATATAACTATCTTAAAGTACAATTACCAACAATTCCAACTATCAAAAACTACCCCCACCTCCTATGAGCTGGTTCTGTGGCTTCCCCAGGACAGATGGGAGAAATGGCCACAGCCCTGGTGGGGGACAGGCCCCAATGACACAGGCAGAGCTTAATGCTTGGAAAACATGTTGCGTTTCCTAGCTGCTAGCAGAAAGTCCATAAATCTACCTGGCCCCAGGATCCATGAAAGCGGGAACGAAAAGGTGACATCAAAATAAAAAGAGTGCCCTCCACAGCTGCCATTTGGAGTCAGGCAGTGAGTGAAGGTCAAGGGAAACCTCGGGTAAGACACTGAGCACCAGCAGAGAGGTGGCAAAATGTACAGATTTACCCAAAGGTGATGAATAAACATGCAGAAGTGCCAAAGGTGAGGGCAAAAGAGAAGTTAAAAAACATCAAAGCCTACAAGACAGTTACTAGGGGCTTCTACAAGGGACCAATGAGGTATTCCCAAAGTGGTATAGACACCACTTTGCCCCATTAACTGCCCGGAATACCATGTGAATTTTCAAAGTTTCTATTAACCCTTGAAAAAGAGCTTAACACTTGCATATGTTTTATAGTATTTTATGTATTTCTTTGTTAACTGAAAAAAAAAAAGAGCCTTATGGAACAGCTCTTCAGGGATGCATGTGGTCATTATGAGCATCTGCAGGTCATGTGCTATAGCCAAATAACATCATCAGAGCCCCTGCAAGCTTGCAGTGTTACTGGTCCCCAATGAACGGACCACAGGTCCTTTGGAGCCAGAATGAGGCTTTTGCCACCTCTGGTCAGATGTTGTTCTTTGAATTGAACCTACATTTGTTAATATGCTCAGTGCTCTAACCTAAAGCTAGCTTCCTCTGGTAATTTTTAAAATAAGGTCCAAACCATTTCAGAAACTGAATATAAACAAATCTTGAAGTCTGTGGAATTTTATGACAAACTGACGGAGCACGTGAAAATGCCCCAAAGCCGAACCATGCCTCACACACAGGCCTCGGCACCAGTCAGTATGCTCTTGGCTGGTCCTGAGGTTCATCTGCTACCTGCCCCATCACCTACACAGGGGGTAGCCATGTATAACAAACAGAAAAAGCATGGCTCCGATCACATTTAACTCCCTTCTCTGTCAACAGTACCTCTGTCAATGCAAACTAGCTGGTTTCTTTTAGGACCAGTCACCTTAAAGGCCAGCCCCCAAGCCACTTCATCTCTAATGAGAGGTTATACATGCCCTCAGTGACTTCTGAAACTGAAGTAGTGGCAGAGGTATGACCACAGGAACCTTTCCCAACAGGGAACGAGCCTTACACTTTATCCAGGCCCCACGCTACGGCAGCTGGAAAAATGGCAGCCCAGACTTCCTGCCTGCCTGGCTGAGTCAAGTTCAGGAAAAACTACAAAAGAGCCGTGGGCTTGGGTCTATTCCAGAAGTACATCACGGGTCCCATCTCAGACCCGAGAGCTCTGAGTTTATGAAATGCTGTTGACAAGGGCGATTCCGCTCACCCAGATACAGAGAGCAGTCGTTTGTGTGCACCTGGGTGGAGGGACTTGGGAACTGAAAGCCCACGTCTACGTGGAAATGAGTTCCCTACATCTCCCTGGTGCACTCTTACTCTGTTAGAGTTTGCTGGAGATGTTTCTCTTTGCTAGGCTGATTAAAAAGTTCTTCCCAACATTCACAAAAGTTTGATAGTTTTCTTTTTTCCCAGGGAAGTCAGTCAATGAGGAAAGGAGAAATGCCACCAGCTTTGCTGTTTATGTCACACAGCTTCAGAACATGGCCTTTTTCTTTTGTTAAATAAAGTTTGACTCTCTTATGACCCAGCATATACCATGAGGTACCTGAATGAAGACAAAAGTTCAAAAGCAGAAGAGCAAATCAAAGGCTTCTATCACACCCACTCGCACTATGCCAGGAGAAGGCACACTTGCCGAGAAGCCTGGAGACCTGGTTCTATACCTGCCTCTACCTGATGTTAATGGTTGTTATTACCTTAGGCAAATCATTTAACACTCTCTAATTTTCTACAAAATAAAAATTTGTACTTTATTCTCTAAACTAAAGCCCTTCTGGTTTTAAAAGTATTTGTGGCGATGACTGTGAGTTCTACCCCAAGCAAATACATCTTAATACATATAGCCAAAAAACTGCTAGTGAAAAAGACAGCAGAATGTTAAAAATTGGGCAGTGCTTGGCCGCCTATCCTAATAGAGAGAAAGCCAAGTGTGGAGAGGAAATTGTATCTCAAGTAGAGGTTCTTTCTGCACTTGACCTACCTACTTGAGAATAGGCAATTTTCTGCAAATGGACTAAAATATCTATACCAGTGATTTCCTACCTTTTATAGTGGAGAAGCTCTGACTACTCATCTAATTTTGTAACATCTCTCCTTTACATACCATATACATTTGAAAAGTAAAAGGATTAACATTTTCGGTGTGTGAAATGTAATGTAACCCTACAGATAATAAGCACTGCCAGGGAGATCTCAAAATCAGGACTGAGCCTGGCTGCAGACCCACATACCCTGAGATGGCAGGGAGGAGGGCTGCCGAGCCGAGAGATTTCGATGGCAGGATCTCTACATTGTCATTTTCGGCCTAGGGAGAGACGCCAGGCTTTGAAGAAATTTAAGTGTCAGACCAGAGTAAATTGCTTCTCTGTGTTACTCTAGTCTAACATCCTGGACTTTTAAACATTCCACTTTGTCCTTACCACTCATATCCCCAGACTACAGCAGGGAGAGGGGAGGGCATATTGCTAATCTATCCACATACTGGGGCTTAGGTAAATTCAAAAATATATGCTACCTTTGTTCACCATATTAATTTTATTCTAAAATATTTCATACCAACATTTCTGAGATGCGGATGAGATTTTCAAAGGATGAGCACATTGTGTTATCTTGAAAAAATTGTTTTAAGTCAATGCTGAGTAATCATCTATGATGTCTTAGATTATAGGAAACACTGAGTGTGTATGTGTACATTATGAGCATGAACAAACAAGAAAAATGTGTCCTAGGGAAAAGCTTGGACCACTTCACACTGACTCCTTAATACTGCTTTGGAGCCCCTCTATCCCCAAGATTACAAAGCATAAGGCCACAGAAAGCTGAATGTTGGGGGGGGGGGGGATGAGAAAAGGCAAACTTTCCTTTTCCAACTGAACCCTAATGCAAGCCCATGACTTGGAATGTAGAAACCGTTTAAAAACAGAAAACATGGTTCTAACACTGTTGATGGGTCGCTAAGAACAAATGGACCACCTGACCTGAGAATGAGGGCAGACAAGAGCACTCTAACTTGGGGTGCACGTCTCAGGACCCACTCACCTCTCCTCCCTGTCCAATTTCTGACACACCACGCTGTCAACGGCCTCACTACCTCAGCCACGTGGGGTCTAGCTGATGTGTCAGGCATAAACTTCTCAGCCTGAAGCCTTTCAAACTGTTATTGTTACTAAGTAAACAGGCTTTCATATTTCATGAAGCAGAGCAAGGCTGCTGCTACAACTCGGGGTTCGGCTGACTGCCTCCCTGTAATGGTTGAAATGTACACAATGTTTGGGAAATGTCTACATGCAATATACATGACAGGAAGGTAGCCGCATCATAAATGCACATGGCTGGAGTGGTGTGCTCTTCAAACTCAAGGACATTATCATGAATCAGTTTCTGGATAGTAAGCGAGTCTTATTCCCCTTTCTCCTCTGCTTCTCCAGCTGTTGATTATTCTGGGGAATCGACCGTCTCCTATTTGTAGGCATTAACCATAAAAGAATTGTAAAAATAATGTAAAAAGGTCACATGCATACATGTACCATATTATAGTTGTCATATATAAAATTTTAATGAACAGCCTACAAAACCAATATATTCCAAACAGTTTATTCAGGGGCCATCGTTTCAGAATTTAAAGACTCCGTTCTAATGTATTCATATGGAAGTTTACTAAAACATCAGGAAAAATACATAAAGTTAAAAAAAAAGGATCATGGATTCAAAAACTCTTGATAGCTATTAAATGTTTCTCTCTAACTATACTTTTTCCAACAATATAAAAATGTAGTGCAAGAGAGGAAAGACAGCAATTTGCTTGCAAAATCACTTTTGCAGAAAAAGATAAAACAGTATACTTTCCTAAGAAGTAATTTTGCAGATGCCGTTTCTAACCTTGCACTATGTCGATTCACATGACCTCTGCAATTATTAGCAGTAGCCCCTGAGCAGATAAACATCACAAAACTCTATGAGGGTTTTGGAGAAAGGATGAAGGGCACTTGAATTTTTCTAGCCATGATCTCCAATTTGCTTATTATTAGAGAAAGCAGGAGTAAATACAAAAGGGGGCTATTTTGGTCAGGCAACAGCTAGTGCCGAGGAGAGAAGGCACATTCATACCACTCCTGACTTGCCATGTAATGAGGAGCAATTAATTCATCTTATTGTATTTCCAAATGCCAAAGGCTCCATTCACATCAAAGGAAAATGTTTCAAGGCTTTTACTATTGTTCACTTTTAAATGTACTGAGCTATATTTAGTATTTTATAATTGTCAATAGTGTTTTCTTTCATTCTGATGTAGGGCTTAGCATCATTAAGGACTGTAGATGAGGATCCAAGTGATTTATAGGTGGGCTGGATGACTCTCCACCAGGAAGCCTGGGACTTAGATCAGCTAATGCCAGGTCTGAGCATTGGGGAGAAGGCACCCTCCTGACCTTAGCCCCCTTTCCCTTCAGAGGTGACAATAAGAGGCAGGGAGCAAATCTTCCCTGAAAGGCTAAAGGAGCCCAAGCACATG